TTTTAAGAGCTTTTATTATCTTTCTTTTTTCATTTAACAAATTATCTTCCTCTTTTTGTTCTTTTTCTCTACTATCACTATATTTACTTACATATAGCATAGCGACTTAAAGTGTCGCAGGAACTACTTCGAGGACGATACGGAGGACCGTCCCATGGGGTTAAGATGCTAAAAGCCCTATATTTATCTCTTCGATATGGTAATTATATAGATGGCAATTAGCAACAGTGCCAGTTAGAGTCAGCTTTTAATCGACCACTGTTATCGTATTTCCTCTTAGTGATAGGTATATAAATTACGACGGTACAGATCGTGATTCATTAATTTAGAATCGGATAATGACTAATTATCTAATTATCAAATATACGATCGATTATTCGACCCTAGTGATCATTCTTTCCTAAAAATTCATTTGAAAAAATTTATCAAATCTTTTTCAAAAACTCTTAATTACTCACTTATATATACATTTATATATTTGTATATATACTAAAGTACCAAATTATCATAATCAATTTACTTCTATGATATATTAGTAATATGCAGTAATTTATAATAATAATCTACGTAATCTATTAATTATTTAATAATAATATAATATACATCAATATTATATTAATTCGTATAATTCATTACTACGTATTGTTACAAATAACAATAACAGATGATTTTTCTTTTCCGTAATTATATTCTATCATCGTTTATATGCACATATATATATATATATATACACGTACGTATATTATTAGCGTATTATCATGTATAATTATCGTGTACGTATAGCGTACTTATGATTATAGAGCCCTCCGTTTATCATTTACTATGATTTAGAATCTATCTATTCATCTATTTATCTGGTAGAAGGATCACGGAGAAATACCATCTGTTTTACCTATCTAATCCTATTCGTCTTCTCGCGGGAATTGTCTTCCCTTGCGCTGTTATCCGCACGTCCACCTCGTTATCTAATTATTTATTAGGAGGGAAGGGGAATAGGTGAATAGTAGTAGGTCTCTTAGGATTTCACTTAACTGTTTCCATTCTGGATCCATCCGAAATTCACATTTTAAAGCATATAAATTTATTACAACATTAACGCGATAATCGTTTCATATTAGCAATAGATATTTCTTATTTTTCGATTAGTTTGAACTGAGATGAAAATTAAGAGATCAAGGTTGATTAAAGAATCTTCAAAAGGGACGATGATGAACGTTAATTAGGCGAATCATTCTGACAATTAAATATCCTCAACGTTCGTGTTATATAATAATTGTAGTTGT